TCCGCGTTTGAACCGCCTTGCGTGTATCCTAATCATCGAGAGCTGTCAGAATAGTCCTGAACTGTAGAATCTTAGTGCCGTACCTTTGCAGAGCGACATGCGGCAATCCGGCAACCAGCCAAGATGACGCTGAGTATCAATCAACGAGCGGACCATCTGTGCCACCGAGCTAGGGTCGATGAGGGTAAGGAATGGGATCTGGGAACGGAAAGAGTCCCAGAGACTAGAAAAGTTGTCAGTGCAGGCCTAACATACCTGGGGAGGTGCTGCAACAAACCAGTAGAAAGAATCAAAGTACGGCTCCGAGCTCGTCCAGAGCGGGTTCTCGCCCGTGTAGTTCTGGGGATTCATCATCGTGCGGTAGATGCCGCTGTAGAAATTGGTGAGAACCGAGGGCTTGACGCCGTTGCGCGACACCCGGATTGGAGCCATCTTTTCGGTCCACTGCTGCACGGCCGTCTTGTGCGTAGCCTCAAAGTCAAAGTCCCATTTCCCGGGCTTGATCTCATTCTCAGCATTAATGCATGCCTGCATTGGGCTGATAAAGCTGACTCCGACGCGGGCCTCGACTGTCCCATCAGGCGGGGTATTGAACCGGAAGAATCCACCACCCTAGTATTGTTTTTAGCTCAAAATTGACTGTTGGAGATAAGGTTTATCACTCACTGGAAGCGGGTAGCCGTTGATACTGCGGGAGATCTTCAGGTCATGGACATCCGTACTCGCACGAGCATCAACAAAGATGCCACCATCTCGTATACCTTCGTTCTGGGTCGCTCCAGGGGTCTTGAAGTCGGCACAAAAATGCAGCGTGTACTCGCCGCTACCGAAACTGGGCAAGAACGGAGCGGTGCCGGTCATACGACCAAGCTCTGTGTTGACGGAGATGGTCGCGTTATCCTGACGCGAGTCGGACAGATCCGAGAGATCCAGCAAAACCAGCGGGCTGCTCTGTGGCGGGAATTGGAAGCGGAACAGAGATGTGTGGTGAGACACAGTCATATCAACATGAACACCTGACGCCAACGTAATTCCAAAGTAGCCGGGGCTGGCCGTCACGGAGCTGTTGATGTAGGGCGTCGCGCGGGATTTCTTGGGGAAGACGCAACCATCCACGGTATCGCCGGCGCATGCTTTGTACGGGAAGAGAGGGAAATTGCCCAGCGATGGGGAACCTCCAGTCCCGGAGTCGTGCATAGACGAAAAACCTGTGACATTGGCGCCATCGAATGTAAACCCACCCTGGTTGCTTGCCGAGTCGGTATCGGCGACGGCTTTAGCCATGCCATAGGGCAGTGCGGCGCCGGGGAAGACATTGCCTAGAGAAACCCATTAAAGTCCATCCCACTTATTATGGTTCCGCACGTACCTCCATTGGAGCTTCCAATCAGTGGGTCGATATACCGGAGTACATCATAGTCCTCAATGGCATGTTTGGCCAGCGCAGTGCCGGCCAGAAGCGACAGCAACACTCCATGCATGGTGAACAGTGAGAAAAACGGACCCCTCGTGCTGCCTGGGAAAAGGGAAAAAAAGAAAAGCTTGGTATTATTATGTTCCCCCCTGTGTAGCGCGTCGTGCCTGTCCGGCATGCGCTATCGGCCCCTGTCGATCATCCCCGCGTCGCTGCGTTGCATTCAAGATCTGGACCAACAGACAAGGTAACGCTGTGACGGCCCATTCCGCCCGGCCATTCCGTGCGGGAACTAGATTCGTCGAAAATGCCTTGATAACGGGGGCCAGGATGCCTAGAGATTGGACTACGTCGAGTCGGGGGTTTCGTTATTATTATCCGTTGCCCGATTCAGCAAGGGCGATCCTAGACTAATAATGAGAGGATTTGTTGCAGCGAATGAGCAGACGAGATCTTGGATTAGCGGTGCTACACTGTGCACAACAAGCCTTGTGGTCGTCGGGAGACAACATCCCGAGCTTCCAGGCGGAGAGTGTTGACGCCTCAAGGATTTGGTCCTGTCTGGTCACACTCTGAACACTGGTCTGGCCAGACGGGAAGAGCTCATATCATTGCTCGGTTGGTTGTTAGTCGACGTAGGAAAGGGTTGGCTTAGACCTACCCCTTTACAGGGTGAAGTCGGAAAGGGACTCCGGCGGCAGGGGTTGACTACAATACTTATAGATGTGAGGGGCGCTCTCTTCCACCCAAACTTATCTGTCAAGGGCATAATAATAACTGTCCATTATACTACTGTGCATGAAAGGAAGGATAATATCTAGATCTATAACGCCAATGCCGGATAATCCCAATGCTATCTTTCACTCCACTTTATATAGACTCGACAGGGCCTAGCAATCGGTTGGTTAGCTGTGGTTCCGTAGGACCTGGAAGCAAAGGGGAACAAGAAACCTACCCGCGCCTGCTTGGGCTCGATAAACAAGGCCTTGGCCTCAACCAGCAAAACGGGCTCCGTGCCATCAGTCGGGAGTGTCTCAATTCGGCCCTCGACCCACGCCTTGCGGCCCTCGACCTTGACGGTCTCGGCGCGCAGCACGACATACTGGTTAGCCATGGAAGGGGCGCGATAGTCGATATTCAGGTTCGCCGTGACGCCGATCTTATTCGGCAGGGCTGGGAAGCAGCATCGCGCCAGACCCTCGTCCAGCAAGGTCGCTAGCAAACCGCCATGCACGATGCCGGGGTGGCCGCAGATGTCGGAGCCGAGGTACATGAGCGAGACCATGCTCTTGCCGCCGCGCTCGTTGAAGACATATGGCGGCACGACGATCTTGTTGGACCCGGCTAAAGTCCCGGCCGTCAGGCTGCGTTCTCGTAACGCCTCCGGGAACTTGAGGTGCGGGCGTGACTCGGTGAAGTCCGGGTTGGCGCGCAGGGACTCCGCGATCGGATGCGTGCGGATGTGGTCGTCAATTTCTTGTGTCGCGTCGTCTGGCGCGACGAACAAGGTCAACGACTCCTCGTCGGAGGCCAGTGGCACGGCCATGAGGCGGTAGAGCGTGCGTTGGGTTTGGAAGAGGAGGCCGGCGGTGAAGGCGAGGACGGCGATAGAGGTGAAGCCGGCGAATCGACGAAAGCGTGATCGCGGGCGAGGAAAAGGTTCTGAGGGTGATGCTGTAGTCGTAGACAGGTCAGTTGTCGTTTGCATTCAGGTAACCGGGATGGATCGGGGTTTACCGGCGGTGGAATTGAGGCGCTGGCTCCGAAGGGGGCTTCGTAGGGGGACACGAGCGGAGAGAAAATGGGACGGACTGCCAATCGGCCGGGGCAGACAGGGCTTTAATCGGGCCGAGACAGGTAGACGGAGCATAGTGTGAGAGGCGACTTGTTGGGAGAAATCAATGGTTACGGCAAGAGATAAACCGGGGCCCGGAAGAGGTTGAGCCTCGGCATCTTTGCGCTGAGTCAATCGGGAAAGGTGTGGCAACTACTGGATCGGACAGAAGGATAGTTTATTTTTGGGGGGGGAAGAAGAGTCGGTACGCATGCTAGAGGTGAGAAACAGCAGTGTTGATGATTTAGTTTTGATTTTCAGGTTGTCTTCATCCTCAATTGCGGATATATATTGCGCACCCTCAGTAGGCCTACTTGACTGTATCACATCTCCCTCCGGTGTCCTATGTACCATTTTCACTTTCTTTTTTATCCTAATTGGAATTTCCACCTCTCATCCAAGACATCTTCTTGATCCTACAGCCCAAGGTTGTCCGAAGAAGCTAATATTAACTACCTAAATTTCCCTTCTCTTGCCCGCGGACCACCTTTGCCACATGGATCCAATCTCTGGTACGGGCGACCATTGGCCCGGCCCTGTTCCATGCTCCAGTGTCCCTTTAAAAATATTCCCTAGGAACAGTCTCGTACTCGATCCCTCGTACATCTGTCCTTGCCAAGAGTCGATCATTCCCTGACGCGGCCCGTTTCAACTGTTTCTTTTCCGCCCCGCCGACTTTGCCCCTCGTTTTTCTCTCACCGTCACTTTTCGTTTCTTTCCTCTTCACCATCCCACATTCATTATGGCCACGTATGTGCATCCCTCTCCGGTCAATTCAACCAGACCACCCAACTAACACCCAATTAGCAACATCACCTTCCACGCCTCCGCCCTGACCCGCGACGAGCGCAGCACCCAGCTCAACCAGCGCGGGCTCACCATCTGGCTGACGGGCCTGTCCGCCTCCGGCAAGTCGACGCTGGCCGTCGAGCTCGAGCACCAGCTGCTGCGCGACCGCGGTGTGCACGCCTACCGGCTGGATGGCGACAACATCCGGTTCGGCCTGAACAAGGACCTGGGCTTCAGCGAGGCCGACCGCACGGAGAACATCCGTCGCATTGCGGAGGTGGCCAAGCTGTTCGCCGACAGCGCTTCCATCGCCATTACCTCGTTCATCTCGCCCTACCGCGCCGACCGCGACCAAGCCCGCGCCCTGCACGAGGTGCCCACCCCCGGCGAGACTACCGGTCTTCCCTTCGTTGAGGTCTACGTCGATGTCCCCGTTGAGGTGGCTGAGCAGCGTGATCCCAAGGGTCTCTACAAGAAGGCCCGTGAGGGTGTCATCAAGGAGTTCACTGGTATCTCGGCTCCCTATGAGGCCCCTGCCAACCCCGAGGTGCACATCAAGAACCACGAGCTTCCGGTTCTGGATGCTGTGAAGCAGATCATTGAGTACCTTGACCAGAAGGGTTACCTGCCTCCCAAGAAGGAGTAAATGCGTGCAGTGCTGGTGGCAGAGAGACGCTTGTTGTATAGCTTGTGATTTTGGTGTATAGCGTGCCTTGTTGGGTTGTTCGGTGATTTCCCCATACACCGTTTGATGCTGTACATACCTTTATCGGTCAAATACATAGATCACTTTGCTGTTGCACACTGTATTTTTTTTTCTTAGGGTGGATTTGTATACTGCACATCCGAAAGCGAAAACAAAAAGAAGATGGCCCCAAGAGTTTCTGCTCAATGTACTGCTATATGTACGCAATTGGCTCCAAATATCCCCGCCCACAGCAACCTTTGCCGAGTTCAAACTAACTAATTGAACTCGAACTCGTAAAACACGTATGCCGTGTAGTCTGCGCCGCCGCCCTCGCCCGCGGCATGCATCTCGCTGGGATCATCTCGCTTGACACGGCCCTTCTTGTCTCGCCCAAAAGCATTGCCAGCCAAGTACGAGTACTTGTCTTCCAAGTTGCGTTTCGCACGGTCCGCCTGCTTGGAAGAGGGGGCCTGCGAGAAAAAACAGATTAGTATACCTTCACAAAAGAAGGCAATGGTGTTAAAACATACCCTGATCAAAGCACACACAAAGTCCAATGGCAACCCGTATCGCAGCACCGTCTCCACAAACACCCGGAGCACAAGCACATGCATCCAGACCATGACCGCCTCGCTCCACGCGGTCCGTCCAAGACGCAACGTCTCACCCCAAAGCTTCCGCTCATCGCCGCCCACACGCTCAACCTCCTTGCGTTCCTCCTCCTTCCCGCCCTCCACATACTTAAAGTCGCGCGGGATCCATTTGTGCTCACGAGCCTTGTGCACGAACTCGGGGCTGTGTTTCTTGAACGTCGTCACGGAGTACAAAGTAAACTCGCTGTCCGAGGCAACCAATTGAGCGGACCGTGGCACGACCATCGGAGCCACGGTTTCGTAGGTCTTGAGGAAATCCTTGATTTGTTGGGTCGGTACGGCAACGAGGTGCGTCTCGAGGTATTCGGAGTCCTGGATGACAGAGCGGGGGTCGACTACTGAGGCGAGGGACTTGGTCGATAGGTTTCCTCTGTACATACCAGAGATTAGCAGATGATATCTAGCAGAGGTGGAAATATCAACGCACGTCTGTTTCCGCTGCAGCGTGGCCAGAGTGTTCTTAACCTGATTATATTGGGAGTACTTGAATCGAATATCGTTGTCGATACTGGCAGCCTCCTATAATAAACGATCAGCCTGCTCCTACCCACCCTTTGGCCGTAGCTCTCTGCACGAACCTTCTGCAGGAGATCAATCAACTCCGCCAGCGGCTTATCCGCCCGATACTTGACTTTGTTCCACTGGAACGTGCGCAGGTACTGATCCACGGGCTCTGCAGCAGTTAGAATCAAGCACGCAGCATCCACACTCCAAGGGACCGACACATACTGTCGTTCACCACCTTCATCTTCTCGATCTGGTCCTCATCTCCACCGAGGATATTCTTCAGCGCGTCTCCCACCTTCGCCACGACGCCCTGGCAGCCACTCTCCAGCTTGGTCAGCTCATCAGCCTGCTGCACGAGGGCGTCTAGCGTGCCGATCTTGAACTCGGGGATCGGGAACGAGGCGGCGGAGCCATTGTCCGGGGAGACGGTGGCGGAGACGGCGTCGAGGGCGTCGTCGCGGTGGTGCGAGGGGACGATGGAGGTCGGAAGTGACAAGAGGAGGTACTTGCTGGGCTTGGACATGGCGGTGATGAGAGAGCCCTGGGGGCGTGGAGGGGGGTTGAGATGCTGGTGTTGGCCTGTTGGTTGAGCTGCCGAGTGATGAAGGCGGTGGGCGAGGCGGGAACTCACTGACCACGACTAGTAATAGCCCTCAGTAGTTGTCGCAGTCGTTAATGAATACCCATTTCTTTGGTATATATCTGATCCAGCAATGCACTCTTCTTAGCTGTCAACTTCTGCACGCTGTGGACTTTTTTTTGTGGCGTTTATTAGACTTGGTGTTTTCGTGATACCGAGCTCCACGAGACACCTGTGGCACGCATCGTGGACGGGAACAGAAGGTTGACTTATAAAGGCCTTGAGAGAATATTTTCAGCGTTCATCGACATCTACGCATGCTTGGGTCTCATTGAGTACAAGATAAGGCAGTACATAAGGGGTAATAACGTGCAATGGTGTGCCCTCTGACTAGAGGCATTACGGCCTGAGGCGAGAGTAAACGATGAACATGTAAACGCTAGACTATCCAATGCTCGCTTCAACCGAGTCGGATCAAGAAAAAAACATACAGAAGAAAAAAAAAAGGACAACGGCCGCCCAAACAAAACCAAGAAATTTTGATCTCTCCGGAGAGAGAACGAATAGCTTCGAACCTGCGGGATATGGATCGGGGACGAAAATCGAGACATGACAGGGTATCGGCATCGAGCGTGCAACGCTGATCATAAAATGGGTGTGGGGAGAAGGGAATAAAAAGGGCAAGGAGGCCAAGTGGCCGGACAACAAGCGCGGGTATATGTACACGGAGACCGTCGTCATCCAGACAGGCGTCGGTGGAATTTTCCAATCAGCCAATTTGGTGCTTGCCGTGACAGTCGGCAACAGGACCAAGGACGCAAAAGAAAGAAAAATGTCAAAAAAAAAAAAAAAAAAAAGTATAAGCACAACGAACAAGTAAATAAAGAGACACCTAGGCCTGCATTCCTTGGAAGATGCCCTGGCAGTTGTCCACAAGGAACTTAACCACATCATTCTTCTTTTGGACATCGGTCATCTCACGGGCGAGACTTTCGGGTCTCATGATGGTCGGTGCAAAAACGACTGCGACATTTTGGCTGGTCATCAAGTTCTCATCCCGGCGCTCGACCACGCGCTTCAGGTGGAAGACTAGGAATTCAAGCACGTCGCGGTGAACGCGAGGTAGCTCCATAAGGCTCCTCTGCAGCAGATCCACGCGTTCCAGTGTTGACGTGAGTTCGCTAGACTCAATAATTTTCTCGTACACCTCGTAGGTGATCAGGGGTGTTGGAAGCTTCCGAAAGTACTGCTTCAGAGCCGAGGTGACGGCATGAATATCCAGGTCCGGATCAGAGAGGTCATAATCGAACGGAGACCGCTCAAAGCCTTCCCGAATGCCTTGGATGGCTGAAGCAGCCCCGGATTTGCGGTAAATACCTTCCATGTCCATGCCTGACTGGAGTTAGCATTTGAATCGATAGTCACACACGAGGGCACTAACCTCGCAGCTCAACCTCTTGGATACAACGGGTGACGATAGCGGGAATAATGCTCTTCTCATGCACCATACGGTCCTCCAGATCGGTACCAAAAAGACCTGCAGGATGATTAGCGGAGAACGACAGAACAAGAAACGAGGGTACATACCACCACCTTCAGCCAACACGGGCACGCTATCAGTGTGTGACATCTTACCCACTTGTTTGTGCCTCTGGTTTCCGAAGAAGCCAAAGCCCTGTCGGCTCGGGTCCTGGGTTTGAGAGCGGGGCAGGCCACCCTCATTCTCGTTACCCATGAACGCCCCTTTGAGTCCCTTGACACCCTTGGCGACGTTCTGACCACCCTTCTTCCAGTTGAACTTGCGCGGCTGACCCTTGCGAATGCTGACAACTTGAGGTCCAGGAACAACAGTAGCAGTGGCGGTAGCAGGTTCCCCTTCATCATCGATATGCGCAGTCGAGATGGAGGTCGGAAAATCATGCATGCCGGGCTTAAAGGTCTCGATGGAGTTGGTTGACTTCTCCTTGTTGTGGTAGATCCCCAGGCCATTCGGTCCACGCCCATCATTGGCCTTGTAGAGTCCTTGGATCTGGTGCACGAGCTGGTTGTTCAATTCAGCCAACTGTGCATTCTTGGATGACAATTGTTCAAACTCTTGGAAGCTCTTCTCCTTCTGGCGTTGCAAGTGGGCCAGCTCCTCCGACAGATCGGAGCGCTTCTGGATGAGCTCCTCGATCTGCGGGCCATAGGACTCCTTCAGCTTCTGAATCGCTTCAGCAAGATCTCGCAGAACATTATTCGATAGCTTAGACAAATCCAAGGCCCCACCGCTTCCAGTACGCTTCTCGGCTTCCAAATGATCAGTCAAGACAGTAAGCTCACGCAGGACAATCTCTCTCTGAGCATCCAGGACGACCATAGTCGAACGTTTCTCAGACAGTTCCGTGTTAACCTGTTTGACATCGGCGGTCGCACGGAGAGCGAATTCCATCTCTGCAACTCGCTGGCGCTCCTTGCGCAATTCAGTTCGAAGCCAAGAGACCTCATCGGACTTGTCAGCAGTACCAGGGGGGCTCCCAACATCAGTTCCCCCAGCGCTTCCGTTGGCAGGCGACCGAGGAGACTTTAAATCCTTGCTGAGACGCACACTCTTGTCGCTAAAGCTGCGACCATGACGAACAGAGTTCGACATGCGACGCAAGAAGGACTCGCTAGTTTGAGCGGCCGAGGCTAGTTCTTCGTCTGGAGGATAGTCGACAATACTGTTATACCGCGACCGGGACGGCGAGCCCGCGCGGTCCAACTGCCGCTGAGAATCCAACTGGGAAGTATTCAGTGCACTGCCCTTGGCCAGTTCAGATGTAGTTTCAGTGCGCACTCTGGGTGACTCGTCATAGGGCGAGGGGCCGGTCGACTGAGACCGCGAAGAATGCCCGATTTCCTTCCGCGGGATCGTATAGCTTTTGGTTTCAAGTGAATCACCTCGCTTGGGCGGATAAGCCATACTGGACGACACAGGCAGAGAGCGGGACGAACCCCCAGACTCGTGCTCGTGAAGTTTGCGAAGCTCGCTTGTGGGCCTTGCAGTGGCCACAACGCGATCTAGAGGTGCCGTCTTGGGAACATCACCTTGCTCCTTGGAACGGTTGCTCTCTGGACTGTTGGCACCAGAGAAAGTTGCTCTGTCCATCAATGTGATCGGAATATCCGATGTGGAGCTGCGGGCAGAGGTCGGCTTGCTAGCTTTGGATGTGTCTTCAGTCGCCTTGTCCGCGGGGCCAGCCGCTCCATCCACATCGCGCCGAGCGTCCTGATACGCAATATGGGGAGAGTGGTTTTCGGATGAGGCATGAGAGCCAGGGTCTTGGAGATAGTCACGTCCGTCGCGTGACGTTCTGAGCGACGAATCGCCCGATCCAAGAGCGCCGAAGTAATCACGTGGTACTCCGTCCGTGTGCTGCGACTGTGCGCGAGATGATGATCGGGTGCCTTCAGTGGAAGGGTCGAACGCGAGAGGTATGAGGAATTCGGCGCCTCCGTCCGCTTCAGCGTCGCGCAGGCCCGTCAATTGGCGGCTGCTTCGGTAGGTGCTGGAAGGAAGAATGAGGCTGTCTGTAAAGAGAGAAAGAATCAGTCTTGGTATCCCAGTCATGGTCGATCGTGCGTTCCTTACCTGATGCCTGGCGGGAAGGTGAGGTTTCTGATCGGCCCGCATCACTGGCGCCCTGCGTGTCCCGGCTGCGCAACCCATCGGTCGGCGCATCCACGAACGCCTCGTTTTGAGCTTCGGCCATTAGGTGCGGTGGCAGCGAAGGCAGCGACTTGTCCAGCTTGGCCTGTGACGATGACTTTTTGCTGGCCGTGCCGCGAGTTCTTTTCCTCCGCCGCTGCATTAATGATTCGTGACAGTCCATACAGAAGATTCCCTGAGACGTGCGCGCATAGCGCAGGTTTTCGATCTTCTTCTTGCAGTTGCGGCATCGAAAGCATTGCGCGCAAAAGGCTTGGTCGCCGGTTAGGATGGCCAGGTCCTCGATCTTGTTGCCGCAGGAGCTGCAGTTGTAGGTACAATTGCTGCAAATCAGCGAGCCATCGCCCAGCAGCAGGAGGTGCGCGTCGGAATCGAGGAGGGTAGAGCAATTGCTACATCGGAAACAATCAATGTGCCACCTTTGCCCAGCTGGAAGACGTTAGGACTACTGCACAGCGAGAAGAATCCGGCTCCAGAACACTTACCAAGTTCAAAAGCTTTTCCTTCCTCGAGAATCTGGGGACACAATTAGTTGGGTTCTCATGAGGATTGACCACGGATGCGTACCTCTCCACAGCCCTTGCAGGGAATGGGGATTTCGTCCTGCTCCATGATAGGAGTCTCAATAGCCGGGGACTCCATTATAGGCCACTTTGACTAGGAAACGGAAAGAAATGCGCGACCCAATGATCTCTTGTGATGGGAAGGTAATGCAAGATGCCCGTTCGCCGGATCACCAATGGTGTAGGCGAGCGATTGGTGGCGACGACGTCGAATGTCAAGCGCGCGAAGACATGCGGCGTTGAATTCCGTTCGAAAAGACAATGGTCAGATACACGCAGCGGCCACGATGCTTTTGAGGGGGAGGGGGTGGAAAATGGATGCGCAAGATTGGCGGAGAACGCGACAGGGGAGGGGAGGGGGTCTTTGAGAAAGAAGACCAGTGGTGGCCGTTCCTGTAAGCTGCTGAAGGCGTTAGCCAAGCTGAAGGTTTCTCCTATGATTAGGCGTAAGACATCCGTCCCCTGAGTGCCAACCCGGGGGTGATTAGCCGGGCTGCCTTGTCCGACCTGGTCAGGATGCCACGGCCGGTACAAGCTCAAGGGGGTAAGACTCCGCCACAGATGGCAGCCAGGACACAACAAAAGAAAGTATTAGCATACCAGACACCGTGCGATCGTCAGCCCAAGTGTTGCTCCAGATGGGTTTCAGGCAGAGCGAGGGACGCGGGTGTTGTAATAAGCGCAGGCGAGGCCAAGTGTTGCCCCTCGCGGGCGAACTGCGCTATGGTAAGGGGTGAGCGCGACGATGTGCCCGATGCAAAAGCGAGAGGGATGATCGAGAATCGGGAGGGAAGAACCGAAAATCAGCGCGAGGTTCAAGAAGAGAACAAAAAGAAAGGAAGAGAAGAAGGAGAAAGAGCGAGAGGGAGAGGCGGAGTGCAGGGAAGGAGAGGACAGAGGGATGGAACAGTTAGTGGCAGAACAGAACCCGAGTCTGGATCTTCCCCACGCATTGAACTTATGTACCTCTTATTATTATTATTATTATTATTATTATCCACCGCTGTTGATACTCGATAAATAATCATGAGTATTTTACTATTATGGTCGTTCTATATCCCTAAATACATTTGTTGGGGACGAGGTCCTAGATACACCTGTCTACGTGGACGGACGGATGGACCGACGACGACCAGCAGATGCGGCTGGCCACGAGCTGGGCGCCCAATGAACGGACCCTGGGTCCAAACGAGATCGTGAAATCACCTGAATGAAGATCGTCAACGCCCGAGAGAGCCACAAGTGCCGGGAGAAGAGTTAGTAGAAGGGGCCAAGGGGGATTGGATTACAAGTGTTGTGCAGCAGAAATGCCGGCCTTGACCCGGGAGAGTAGCTGCTCCGGATCAACTCACTAATGTACATTCTTGCGTACCAACCATGGACCGGGTCTTTGTCTAAAACACTGTTGGGTCCTTACTGGGTCAGATTCTTAAATATAAATTGCCCCTGAACAGCCCTGAGGGGGCCGGCAGGGCGCTCAGCGTGGGCCGCCGCGTTTCAGGTTCCATCTGAAACGCATCACGTGTTTAGGGGGACGACCACATATTGTGCAGGACTATAGACAGCGAATATGACCGAAGTACTGCATGGGATGACGGTGGTCATGGAAGATTTGGGAGCTGGAAATAGGGGTTGCAAGGACTGAAAATGGAAAACATTATACGGCCATCTAGTGAACTTGTTCATAACCTCACCCTCTCAGTAAACCGTAAATAAAGGTCCTTGGTACCATGTCTTCATCATTGGCTACGAAGATAGCTATAGATACAAGATTTGGTAAAATATCTATGAGGCAACATCTATCTCTTTGCCTATACTTTCGCAACTTCACGCAAGAAAGCCGAGTGAAGTGCGGAGAAGGGAGAGGAAATGTGTTGACGACTCTCTCAACGGATAGTCACGAAGACCTCACTTGACCATGCTTGCGTGCAGGAAAGAGCCATCAAGATGGTATGTAGATGGTAGAACAGGAACGGCCTCTTCCTCTTCACCAATTGGTTGTCGGGTGTCTTCACTGAAGACAGTGGTTGACTAGGTTGCGCCTCGCATTTCGGTGGCACATACTTTGCTTAACAGGGCCCCCTGAGCTCCTGAAATAATAGAATCTGATGTCCATCCACCTACTTCAAGTGGGCTGACCGTCCAGGTTCTGCAACCTATTCCTAATCGCACTTTGATCGGTGTCTCCTTCCTCGTTGCTATACTCCTGAAGCACAATAGTCCGCATCAAGCGACGCGGGGCACGGCGGCCAGTGAATAGTTCGAACTGGGCAAATCCTTGCTCGGGTAGGACATCGAGACCGTCGAGGGCAACCCAGCCGCGATGCGATAGGGCACGCACCTGCTGCATAAGTGGCGTGTTGAGAGGTTTATATGCCAACTATATCAAAGTCAGTGCCACGCGGTAAAGCAGAATAAGGGAGAACTTACATCGACGACGACACCACCGGTAGGACTCTCCAGCCATTGCGAAGGCATGCGAAAGTTGGGAGCAGGCTGACCGCCGATACTGTGGGCTGGAATACAGGAGACAATGATGGTCGGTTGCTTGAAGGCACTAGGCCAAGGGTCATCCAATGAGTTCAGGATGCTGACTTTCGGACGGCCATGGGGCCCGCTTTGCTCTTTAGAATGCAGGTCTTGCCGGTTGTAATGATGGGCCAGTTTTTCTGCCTTTTCAAGAGTCCGGTTGTAGACGAAAATGGTCTGCACTCCTAGGTGGATCATGGAGTAGACAGCAGCACGAGCCATGCCACCAGATCCGATGACAAGACCTGTCGACGAGGGACGGACAGCATTTGCAGGAGAAAGTCCCCGGCGAATGCAGTTACAGATACCAATCCAGTCGGTGTTGTCCCCATGTAGACCCTTGACGGGACCCGCGCGATTTTTCTCCAGGTACACCGATGATTCCCGTGATAAGCGAGGATCCTCTCCGTCAAGGTTTCGGATTGGAATCAGCGTGTTGACGGCGCCAATCGCTCGAGCATGAGATGACATAGAGTGGAGAAGGGGAATGCATTCCGTCTTATACGGCAGACTGACACTCGACCCGCCAAAGTATGGGTTCTCCACAAGATCATTCAGACCGCGCAATGTGGACGACTGGTAGATCTTATAGAAATGGGGCATCCCACACAGTTTGAATGCAGTATTATGCATTGCAGGGGACATGCTGTAAGTAACATTTGCTCCGAAAACAAAGAATTGCATCGGGTCCAGGACGAATGAGTTGTAGAGCGCCGTTTGGACATGGTGGGCGGTGATGGAGGGTTGTAGATAGGTCGGGCTATCTTGCATCAAAGAGGGGTGCGTAACCGGTGTCAGGATGGGATTGAAGCATCGTGAAGTTCGGCCAAGGTGGCCGGTATTGTAAGCGATCAGCGGAAGCTCGGGGTATGGGAGATTCTGAACACGCCGGCGGAATCGCTGAACAGCGAGGTTATCCTCCATCGTTTCAGCCGGTTGAGACAGCCTGACAATATCACAACCTATCTTCCTCGCTCGTTCGTAGAGTTTGATGTATTCGTCTCCGTCCCAACCTCCGGGCAAGGAGTGAAAAGCTTCAAAATGACCAATAATTCTGGTCGATCCTCGAGTAGCGATGACTTGAGAAAGAAGACTATCGTCGCGCGATAGATCAATAGTCAAGAAATCTGGGGCCACTCGAAGACCGTGGCGAACCAGGTCCAGATAAATTTCATCGTTGCATCGAGAAGGGACTCGATTCGGGGAGAGAGATGATCCAGAAATGCCATGACTCTCCACATGGTAGATCAATGGCACGATGATATTTCGGCGGATGGTCGCCACGGCCTGACTGATACTGTCCGCCAGGTTTGAATCTGCGCCAGAATGGGTAGAAACACAATTTGCCACGTCGATCGACAGTTCAAATGCATCCGCTCCGAACTCTACTGACTCAATGTCCAGATCTTGTTCATGGATGACTGAGAATGGGACCGAGACCGCGGAGGTGTACATGCGAGATTCGACGGGCAATAATGACAGTGGGAAAGAGGCTAGTTGACGGCTCAGTTCCGCATGATCGCCGGTCACAAAGGCGATGAAACGAAGGAAGTCTCGCTGGACTCGTTTCAATGTGAGGAATGGGGTCGGAGTATGATCGTAGAGGCTATCTTTGGTTCCATGCTCGCTGCCATTGGTCTCGGAGACGTTGAAGAATTCCAGATTTGAGCATCCGCGGTATATGGGTCCGGACAGTTCGAGAAAATGCCGCACTTTTTGCGTATCCCACGCCTTGAGGTATGACTGAATACTGTCCGGATCTCGAACCACATGGATGACAGGGTGGGTGCGCGCATATTCCCGCAACAGCCTCTGTCCAGTGCGCTCCATCGACCCGGCTCCACACGCAATCACGCAGCCTTCCCGATTGTCTGACAGCATCGACTCCATCACCCGGGCCTCTTGCTGTCTGTATTCAATGAGATCATTGCCCTTCTTAAAAGCGGTGCGAGAGCAGCCGGTCATCTGCTGGAAGTAGCGGTCGGCATCAATCAGACGCCGGCCTGATGTCGCCGCAAGAATGACCGCGAGACTGGACTTTCCGGTGCCTCGAATGCCAATCAACACGACTGACGCATTTGGGCTGAAGTTGCGCGGGACCTGCAAGGGACCATTGTCGAACAGGACGGGCGAACCGCGATTCGAGTGAAGTTCTCGCAGCGATGTTGCCTGCCAGTGCGAGTCGGCGGGAGTCTCGGTGTGTTCGGGCTGTGGGCGAGACGTTGAATCCGACCGAGCCGGGGTCGTTGGGACGGAGCCGTTGGATCCCTGCTTGCGAGGTGCATCGTCGGTCAGGGCTTCCACCTCGTGAAGTTTGCGCTTGGGCGGGCGCACGAGAATGGACATGTTGTCAACACCTGGTCACCAGGAGACCAACAACTCAAAGAAAGGTTAAAAACAGGGGCCCATGATGATTCGGGAAGAAAAGACTCCATACAGCGAGCGCAGTGGACAGTGGATTTTGCGGGGAGTGATCCCGTGCAGCTCGCTGACTCAGACGGAGAAGTCCTCAGCCGGGCATGACCAGGTGATTGCATTTTCCCGCTTCCC